ATGAATGTGCACCGAAACGGTTTTCATGCTAGCAGAGATAAAGTATCTGCTCCAGGGGTATCATAGGTCAACACAAATGTCAACTTCCTTCACGGAAACAAAGGTGAATTCAGGCGAAGTTTTGCAGATTGACTATACATTGCTCTTCTTCCCTTTTAAACCAAATATTCCTAAGCGCGGGCTGGCTAAGTTGCGGTCGTAGATTAGTGACAGGTACTGTTACAGGCTTAAAGCCTTACAAGTTTAGAATCTGACTTATCCGATTCCATTTATAAAGATTATTCAAGTCACTTCATCGGACAATTAAGTTAAAAGTATCTTACGCAAGACCTGATAGATACTCAATTGTGTGACTCATGTAGTTCTTTCATTAAACAAAATATAAATCTTCATTTTCGGATTTACCTGTACCAATAGCTTTCGTGATCAGTCCTTTCACAAGTACTTTTCAAAGATTGGGTGCGATATGGTGTGTTAAAAGTTACCATTGTTGAGTTATCATAGTTGAGGTGGTTATGGTGAAAGAGGGCGATACGTGCAGCTACAATAAAGTATAATGACCCTGATCAGACTAGCAGTATATTCCGTTAATTGTCCGTTTTGCCTCAGGCATGTAACAAGAACATGTAGTATATAGATTAGTCGTTGTAGATAGACGGGTGGGTATCGAAGTGTTGGAAGCTGATTAGAGAGCCCATCATTATTATATGACCTTTATTTACGACTCAGACTGAGACTACTATATCCGTCCTCTGTTGATTACGGTCACGCTTAGAGATATCCGAGACGTCCATCTAAATTTGTAACATGGTGAGCCAAACTCCATTTTCGAGCTTGGCCTAGGATTCCTGAAGAAGTATGATATCGGTTCCTGAATCCTGAGCCGACTATAGGATAGTGTCCGTCGGGTGGCCTCTTTCACTCGAATTAGCGCGGAGGAAAGAGAACGTTGTTGCCGTTTTATGACGCTCGATAGGGTTGCGGTAGTATATGGGCATTGAGAAAAGTTTGAAGGTTCATTTTAGGCAGTCGCCTCGGCGGCTTTCTTCTTGGCTTCAAATCCTCAGACTAAAGTAATTCTACTCTAAGAACCTGCTCGCGAATATATTTTAGTCAGATGATGTTCTCAGCATCGATTACATTGTGCAGAATTCAGCTTACGCTCAAGCTCGTGAAGTCAGCCTTTTCTTCGAACAATCGTTCACTAAGCTTTGTTTTTCCTTTTGCAGAATATAACACCCAGTCAGTCGATGGTCTTGCCATACTGGCCGCAAAGGCATGAGCTGAGGTTGGTTTAATTCCAGATTTAAGAGCCGATTCTTCTATCAACATCTCTAGTGTGACTAGCACGGGTACTTCGATGATATTTAGTCTATCGGGGATATTGGTTGCTAGCACAGAGATCCAGTTGGAGGCAGCTTTTATCTTTAGTTCCGAGTCATCCATCATGGCAGCTCCTTCCCAATTAGGTTGAATAGCGAGCCCTGAAATCACAACGGTAAGTTGCTTTATGGCAGACTTTGCAAGGCGTAGCTTAGTAGCTAGACTTATTTTTATGAACTATGGAGGCATGCGTCTACACAGATGATCGGACTTCGCTGCCAGGCCGGACCCCATCAGTTTTGGACAGGGCCTATGGTTATTGAAGCCGCTGAGCTAGCTGGCTTTATCTTTTTTCGAACTACCTCGGTCCAGAATCTCTTGATAGTCTAGTCAGAAGTCAATTCTATCCCATGGTTGGGGTTTGGCGTTTCGATTGTAGCTAGCGGTAGGCATTTTCCCGGTTCGATAGCTAGCATGGTGCGGGATTTGGTAAAGCCGCCATTTGCAGTCTGAACTGGTGCAATGGCTTGGGTATTGACTGGTTGGCCTTGCAGTATTTCTATGATGCAACCTTGAGGGGCCAAACCGGTGAGTTCGATGGCTTATCGAAGTTCTTCATCTATTTTGGAGTCTTATTAGTTGCAAGCCCTGCTGAAGATAGGCTCTACTTTCACAAAACGCTTCTGAAATACCCATGCCTTTTCGACGAGAAAGTTGGTCATATAGGCGCCTACTAAGTTTGGTTGTAGATTTGTCGAGCGCTGTTGGCTCGTGTTGTAGATTGAGTCTACGAAGTTGGTGTGTGAGTAGTGGAGTATTTGTTGTGGCCCATTAATAACCATCTCGACGTCAAGACGCTTCGAGGTTACAGCTAGGAGGGGGACAGGAATGAGCCTCTGCTAAGGACTGAGGCGGTATGGAAAGATGTAGATGAATTGAAGTTGAATGATGAGCTAGCGCTAGTGATCTCGTGAAGAAATTCGTGGATATGATGGCAGATAATTGTGTTCCTTGTTTCCTAGCGGACAGATGTACTTGAAACTTGTGTTACTACATGAAGCCAGAGACTGACTTGGTTGGTGATTGTAAGTCTTTATGCAAGCGTTTGGAGATGCTTATACTTTCTCAAATCCACTTCCAGATTTTCTGTACCTGTCGTCTGAAGAGATCATAATCTAATATCAGCTACGATTTGGTAAGCTAGTTAGATATGGAAAGCTATCTGTTTTTCCAGAAAATCCCGCATTTATGTAAGAATATTTGGAGATTTTTTTACTTGAAATTTTATTTTCGTATGCAGCTTTATATCCACGACACAATATTAGAGTAAAAGCATAGAACAGATGGCTCAATTTAAAAGAAGAGCACTTATGCCTGGGCTTTTATTTGCAAGTACCACTGGTGTTAAGGCCATGTATTTGAAACCTCAGGCCGCAACTGGATAAGCCATCAGAAGACACAGGAGGTGGCTGGACTTGCTTACAAATGTTAGATTGGTGTACGTTGTCCTGTAACCTATATTAAATTGAAGTATGGTTAACTTCTGCTAGTGAGATTTGGCGCTGGAGGACTTAATGAGGAAGATTCACAAGAAGTTATGTTCTCCAGACTTGTAATCATTATCTCAGTAGTTTGATAACTCTACATGTTTTTCGCACAAATAATTTGAGTTAATTTTTGTACTAACTCCATAATTTTGAAGGCGGCGATTTTGATCTATCCGGACAACATGCCGTACCAACTGCTTGTTGTAATAAAACAGTTCTGCATCAGTATCGATACAGAATCTCTGTCTGTGCACTACTACATGTAACTCTAAATTCACTTGTAACTAGATTGCATATTTAATGTAGTCACGTCTGTTTCTTGTCTTAGCTGCGGGGGTTCACCAAAACACAAGGCTAAAACATCATTTGAATAACGTTGTCATATTGAACATTAGCACGTACCTCATCAATCCCCAAACTTTCGTCATACCAAGTCTGATTCCTGTATACAGATATAGTCTCTCCTACTTCCAGAGATCTTTAGTCCAATATATTAACAGAATATCTCTGAAGGCTAAATTCATCGCTCCTCTCGTCAACTCCAGAGATTTACATCTAAAGCTCCGTTCACCTTCTCCTGTACTTGAATATCACTCTTCCTTCCTCTCCAACAGCCCAAAATCGGAGGGCAAGACTGAACACCTGTACGTGGTGTCTTCTACAAACCTGGGAGTGAAATATTCTCCCAGAGCCCAGTTCAGTCAAATTTCGCAATATCAAAGAAGTTGGCCCACGAGGCAAAAATCCAAATTACTCATCCACGTCGTTATTTCGCTCCCAACGAGATCGATTCCTACCTAAGCCTCATCAAGTCTACAAGTACGACCTAGTACATCCTCATACCAATGACCACACCACTCCTCGACCTTCTCTGGTCTCAGTTGACCACCATATACACGCCCACGCCGATATTTACACCCGCAGGAGGAAGCAAAGCGTGGCGCACAAATCTGGAAGGCAGTTCTATGGGACAGACGTGAGAGGAATCAGGACAAGTTGATAAAATGATGCAGAGGATGGATACAGTCTCGATGGGCGTAGAATTTTGAATTTTGACAAGGAGCTTTTTCAAATTGAGCTTTGTGCGTGCCAAGACTTCGGCTGTGAGAATGCAGGCGACACTATAAACACCGCCATGGTTGGATGGTGCAGTGGTACATCGTTTTGGCCGGTCTGCCAAGTAGAGTTTGGATAGCTTGGACACATTTCCCACTCGAGACAGTAGATAGCTGGTTCGAATCCGGCATAACACAAACACCTTTCTCGCGGCGCTGGTATGCATGGATGACGAAGGTATGCTTGGATAGCCAAAGGTTTTGAAATTCCCTTTGGTGGGTACTCACGGAGGAGGGTCAACTGTTTGTACAAGCAAGCATACCTCATAGTGGTATTTGCAAATGAAATCCAGAGTATGAGTGTCTCCAACCTCAAAAAAGTCATCCAATATGTTTATATAGCACTGGTCATGTGTCATAGCTTTATAGCTGAATACACATTAAATGATTTTAAAAAAAATATTAATCTATTTACGCGGAATCTTGCACGGGGGTACCATGATCCAAATCATCTGGACCTATAGGCTGACCACTCTTTTACTAAGCTTCCCTCTTCCATCACGTGAGATAACACAACTGCTCGCCGCAGAGTCCGCGATTTAAAAACACTATATCACAATAGAAAGTAGGCTTCAAATAGGGTATGAGTATTCTTGGGCTACAAGGAGAGGGCACCAAAACTTTCTGTGAATATTGCTCGAAGGAGGGCAATATTTAATCAAAAACCCGCTGCTGATAAAATTTATCACCCCTGGACTAAAATTAAACTCAAATATAGGAGTATTGATCGGGATGAAATACAATCATCAAATGTCTAGATTTGCTATGGTTACTTCCAACGTGATTACATAACGTCTCACCTGTAGTATGACTGCTATGGGTTCTTAATGCCACCAATCGATTCTCTGAGGATGAAGATGATCATGAGTCTGTCCCTCAATATTACTCAGGTTACGCCCCTCACAACGCCGCTTGTTATTTTCTCTGTTGCATAAAATTTGATGCATGAAGTTTTTAAGTCTTCCAAAGAATAACATGATGCCTTTATAATAATGAAACACCTGGCTCGTTCAGGCTAGTAGAATGACTCCACCATGGTGTCTTTGAGAGAGCCAGCGATTGCACCACTTTCTCGACCTTCACCAAGCCTAAAAACGTTCTCTACTACGCTCATCTCAGTTGCCGTAGTGTCCAAGCCTGCGATTGCGATCCAGTCATTTACAACCATACCAGCACCAATGACAGAACTTCCTCGATTTACACTTCCTGCAACAAGAGGTACTTGTAGTAAGCTCGAGAGCTCATCTTGATCTTGGATAGAGGTTTTCGGATGTACGATACCACCCCTATTTGATAGCGCCATATAAGAGCCGACAAGAACGTTATCAGCGATGGTCTGACGAAAAACTTCAACGCCGAGTACGTCAGCAATTATCTCTTCAGTTTCTCGTTCTAGATCTGGGTGTATAAGTGCCATGTGATCATTTGTTACAATTACGTTGCCCAGAGCTGAAAGCCTTTCCTCAATTCTCTGTAAGCCATGTCAATAAATGGAAGAAAGTGGCGTGGCTCGCTCGTTAGGCTGGAAGTACCTGTATTTTAACATTTTCTGGTAAAGTGTTTCTTAAATTTTGAAGCTCCTGATCCGTCGTATTCGTGGGAACTAATAGACCCTTTCTATTGCTGTACATTCTCGTCAGCTTTTTGGATAAAGCCAATAGTGTCGACCAAATAAATTCATACCCAGTTGTCAAGCGGCCGATTATTCTAGTTCCTGCGATTTGTGTTCTGCAAATTGGGATTACGCCTTGGAGTTCAGCCTCAAAAACACTATCTGTGAGTCAATACTGGCAAGGTCAATAATTCGTTGCTGGAGATTTAAATTTACCTGTAGAAATTCTCACTGGCGCCTATTGCCACCAACGCATAGGAATTAGTCAGTGTCGAGAAAACACCGATCCTAGGCTCCCAGTCAGGTCAATTTATAGGGCAAACAAGCAAAACTTTTTTCACCTACAGAGCATGGAGGGTTTGCTTGAACTACTTACTCGTTTGAATTCTCGAATTGTGTTCGTACCGACATATTAGCCTCAGCTAAAAACGACAGGAAATGAAGTATAAAATAATCCTTTCAGCTCGAAGTTCAAAAAGAAGAGCTAAATAATTGATTGTGCGAACGTAGTTGGGACTGGCAATGATTTTCTCAATACTGCTTGTCAAGAACTTCAACGCTAGTTGTGGGAGGCCTGGACAAATCTCTCGTAACCCGTACGTCATGTGCTATAACTCGATTCTGAGTCATCGGGATGACCTAATCACATATCCATAAATCAGGGCATCATGTATTAGTCTCTTTTTCAACGGGCAACTTGCTGTAGAGTAGAGATACTCTATCTGCCTATTGGCCTTAATTTACTTACATGCGTAGTTACTTCAATGCAAAACGAAAGGTACGATAGTGAGGTATGTGTTATCCTCCATATCTTCTCCCTCTCTAAGAACCTTGCGAATATGTAGTTCGTAATATTGGCTGAGTCATCAAGACAATGACTCAGCAACTGAGAGATGCACTACGCTTAGTGCATAACTAATTGAACTACTTTCCGAAATTATCAGTATATAATAGAAAAATACCAGAAATAATTAGCTCGCTCTCTCTGAGACGGTCTTTGATGAAGCAAAGAAACAGAGTTTTACAAGAATGTTATTATTAGGTAAATCTGGAGTTGCAAAAGAGGATTGAAGCAAAGATATTAATGGTGCTAGAGAGCTACACACATGATCGTCGATTTAAAATGATATTTGTTGCTCGAAGCGAATGTAGCTAGTTCTTTACGTTGAAATTTATCTTGGTAGGGTGCATGAGTGAAGCCAGATGGCATCTTTGTTCACGTAGGTAGCCGGCAAAGATGAATTCTTCACCTTCCGGTGGTGCCAGGATTATCACTCAGTATGCTCTGCATATATGGGATAGCCGAGAACGATCGCATCCGCATCCAACCCGAAAGCAAACACGAGCATATCTCTATCCGAATACTTCTCATCAGTGTCTGCCTTGTCATTCTCATATGAGTCTTCAAACTGTATCTTACCACATAGGACATCGCTTCAATGGCTGACAAAGGAGTTTCTCCAATTTCAAACAGGGGATTGCCCCGTCAATTGCGAGCCATCTCACATTGCAAATTTACGACGCTACGTACACCTGCAGAGAGAGGAATAGTAATAGGATCGTGAGGTGATGGATTGCATATAAAGAGTAGCTTAGTGTAGTTATACACTCAGCACTATCATGGAGGACGTTTATATTCATTCGCTTTATCTTTACACTAAGAACAGTGCCTCATGACATATTTAGATTAGACATGTGCTACTTTCTCAAAGCATTGATGCTAGAATATTCCATTCACCTGTTCTGCCTGATTCAAGAGCATTGAAACTCTCTTCCTGCTACCATCCTTTCCATGGTCCTATGTAGATATCTCTAGATAGCCTGCTTAGAACTCCAGTCAATGTGCATAAGATTTCATTTATATTTAATGGAGTTTATGAGTAGGGATGTGAAGAGCACGTCTTAGCCTGTTATGATATCATAATAATGATGTCATAGCAAATAATTTGTCAGATACAAAGCCTGGGCCCTGGCTTTGGGAGACCGTTGCTCTAATGGGTCTCTGCCTATTGAGGGAGGAAGGACAGTTGGGACGTGGGATTAAAGTGGGAAAAGTTCACCATTGGGCATAGCGTCACTTACGTCTTTCTTTGGCCTTTCGACTTTCAAATATTTGTGGGCGCCAAGACTAAGATTTCGGCTAATTAGCTAGGAGTACTTCTATTATCGATAAGTCTGCGACACCCCCCAGTACTACAGATAGAATAAATGATGTTGGGCTAAGCTACCATAGAGCAATTACAACCTTTGATAACTTTTCTGAAATTTCAGCACAACCTTTGGGGAAGTGATGGAAAGATGCTAGAAAGTTAGAGTGTTATTCCCCGAGGTATACATAAATCTACGGTGCCCAGCTGTCCGGCCTCTTCGACCGCTTCAAAAGGGTCATTATGACTTCGGACTTAGCCCTGATGTCGGTATTTGCAGAGCTCTACACCCATTGATTTTTGCGACTCTTCCCGGCTGCCATACACCCGCAAAGGAGGGCAAGACTGAACATCTGTACGCGGTGTCCTCTACGAACCTGGGAGTGAAATATTCTCCCAGAGCCAAGTTCAGTCAAATTTCGCAATATCAAAGAAGTTGGCCCACGAGGCAAAAATTCAAATTACTCCACCATGTCAATCTTTCACTCCCAAAGAGTCCGATTCTCAACTAAGCTTCATCAAGTCTACAAGTACGACATGGTACATCCTCGTTTCAATGACCACACCTCTCGTCGACTTTCTCTGGCCTCAGCCGGTCACCAAATACACGCCCACGCCGATATTTATACCCGACGGAGGAAGCAAAGCGTGGAGCACAAATCTGGGAGATATCTCTTTGGGATAGACGTGAGAGGGATCAGGACAAGTTCACAAGATGATGCAGAAGAGGGATACGTTTTCGACGGGCGTGGAATTTTGAATTTTGGCAAGAGTTTTACGAATTGAGCTTTGTGCGCGCCAAGACTTCGCTTGCGAGAGTGCAGCTGACACTATAAACACAAGCAAACGATGGAAGGTGTTGTGGTCCGCCTCCTGGTGGTGTTCTCTGGTATGGTTTGAGTAGCCTGGGCACCTACTCCACTTGGGAAGGAGACATCTCAGATCATATTTCGCGCGGAGAAAAGTTGATGGATGACGGAGGCATGTCTGGATAACTCAGGGTTTTTGAGACATTCCCCTGGGTGGGTATTCACGGATGAGGGTTGACTTGGGGTGAAGAAAAAGCCACCATAACTTCGCAGTGGTACTTGCAAATGAAATCCGAGGCATGAGTGCTCCTCTTGTAAATTGAGTCATCTTTTCTGTACTTTTCTTTGATATTGTGTCATAGCTAGATAGCTGCATACGCAATTAAAATCTGATGCAAAAAAAAAAAAATACACCCGCAAATGGTCATCGTTTCGTTGGCTGGAGAGGGGAGATAATGAAGGGCAAAGAGCTTCTACAAGTGTATGATTGAATGAAGATTTGTGAGGGGTGTTATTGCTTGAGGGGAGCTCTATGGAAGGCATAGTGCTGTTATAATAAATCTATTTATTGTTCTGGATATTCATATAATGGATAGTGTTCAGAGTATCGGTGAATCTGGTTAGGTAAATAGCATGGATTTGATTACTAAGTGTAAGTAGACGAAAGTCTATTATGCTGGGGTACAGTTCATAGGCAAGATGCAGATCAACAACAGGGATATAGAACTTACTAATTGCGCACATGAGGGCATTGAAGAAGATACTAGAATTGCCTCATGCACTTGTTGGAAGTGACAAGGGATCACAGAGAGGGGTATTAAAATCAGATTCTCGTGGTAGCATAGAAAAATGAAGGTGTGAGTTCTTTTGATGATTAATTGCCTTCTCGATCTGGCTGAGTTGCATAAGATCTCGTGACTTTCGCAAAATTTTGCTGTGAATTCTTACACTAAGAATCAAAAATGTATTACTAGATTTCATTGGATAGAATACTGCATGTCCTACATAGTCATAGACTCAGACAGGACAATAAAATGAATTAATAATGATAATTGGATAGAATAGAAAATCATGTATACATATATGTATTTTTTTTACCATCACCTAAGTGGAGTCACATAAAGGAAGGAATATACTACTAGATAGGTATCCCTGGTCTGTAAGTAGAGAGGGCTCACATACATTGCTTGGCCTTGGACTTGGAAATGACAATAATATGCGGGAAAAGAGCAAGAGATTGTTGCACAATAGAATAATTTGTTCTAAACACACAATATTTTTGTATTGCATTTGATAAAATATTTAAAAGTTTGTGGACCGGTCGTTTTAGACCTCGGATTCAGGCTTACATGTTTTACATTTTTTAGCTCTATTACGTTCGCTAAATATTATAATTCATTATCGGGATCTCTTCAACCTTCACCTTCCTTGGATCTCGTATTGACTTGCCATAATATAAAAGGACATCAAAAATTCTCTAACTGAAAATTAACAGCAACCTTCCCATTCATTACATCTACTGGCCATTATTTCATATTTCATTTATCGATGTCATTACCTTGTGGGATTTTAATTAATGTTTTCTTAAACTTACAGCGCCATTAAGGATTTAATTGTGCATAATAGCTTCCACTATTTCTCCAGCTATATGCTGGTAGGGATTCGGGAGGTGATATTTTCTCAGTATTAGCAGGTCGCAATTCGCGATGACTGTGGCTATTCAGAGGGGCATGATTTGGATTAATGTGTAAAGATTTTTGTGAGGTATATGCAGCTTGAGGTGGATGATGGGGAGTGTAGTTGGCGTTTAATGACGAAGGTTGATGTTGAGGAGAACTATAGTTTGTATTTGGCGGTAGTGCTGGATGTGAGGTGTATTTTGTGCTGGGAGACGGTGTCGGACGTAAGTTATAGTTTGTAGATGGCTGCAGCGCTATATGTGGGCTGTAATTCACGCTTGAAGATGTTTGTGGATGCAAATTATAGTTTATGGCTGGTTGCAGCGTTGCAATGGAGTTGTAGTTGAGGTTTAGAGATGACGGCGGATGTGAGTTGTAGTCTATACTTGGCTGAGGCGGTGGACGAGAATTATAGTTTGTATTTTGTGGTGGATATGGATGTGAGCTATATGTTGTCGTTGATTGCAGTGCTGCGAGAGAATTATACTTTACGTTTGAAGACGGCGCTGAATGTGAGTTGTAGTCTATGTTTGACTGGTGCGGTATATGAGAGTTGTAGTTTGTATTTGATGGCGGCGGTGGATGGAAGTTGTAATTTGCGGTTAGTGGCGGTGGATGAGAGGTATAGTTTGTATTTGCTGGCAGTTGCGGCGGTGGATGAGAGGTGTAGTTTGTATTTGCTGGCGGTTGCGGCGGTGGATGAGAGGTGTAGTTTGTATTTGCTGGCGGTTGCGGCGGTGGATGAGAGGTGTAGTTTATATTTGCTGGCGGTGGCGGCGGTGGATGAGAGATGTAGTTTGTATTTGCTGGCGGTAATGAATGTGAGTTATAGTTTGTAGCTGATAGTGGTGATGTATGTAAGTTATAGCTTGTAGTTTGAGGTGGTGGCGGATGAGAATTATAGTTTGTGTGTGATGACGGTGATAAATGGGTGCCAGATGTTGATGGAGATGCCTGTGTTGCGTTCATAATTATTGAATAACCGGCAGGTGATGATATTGAAGAATTTGGGGGACATTGCTGTACACGATTCTGTGAGCCATGTAGAGAGAATGACTGAGTTGGTGAAACAGGACTAAGTTTACCATGTTTCTGCAACGGCAGATTTGCTAAGTATATCTGAGATTGCATTGAGTTGAACTGGGGAGTGAGAATTTTTTGCTGGCCTTGAGTTGCAGTTGTAGAAAATACTGGAATAGTAGTTGAGACAGCGCTGCAGCTACTTGTGATCGGCTGCGAAGTCATTGATAAGACTGGTTTTTCTAACACGCTCAGTGCATAATTCGCAAGTTCTTCTAACTTATTTTTACCACCCATCATGGAAATCGATTTAATATTTGGCTGTAGCATTTGCGGACTGGTTTGAGAGTAAGGAGTCTGATAAAGTAATGCCGTGGAGGACTGTGTGGGGAAAATTTGTGAGGTTGACAGTTGGAAAGAATCGCGAACTGGGTCGTACTGATTACAGGATTGTCGAAAATGAAGTTTGGTGGGGACTGGAGGCGAACCGATATTTGAAGTTGAATCTATGTTCGGAGGTGGAATTGGTTTTGGCGACCAGTGTGGTTCTGGAGGAATAATAGCGTCAGATCTAATCACGCTATCTATATGTGAAGAATGATCATTCTCTTCTATTGCAGCCATGACTGCACCAATAAGGTCTTTATCAATTACTTCATTTTCTTGGTAAACACTAGAAGGATATCCTTCGGGAACTGTGTAATCTCCAGATGCTTTTAAGAGCGCTCTAACTTTTTTCTTTACTCCATTGTCTTCAAATTTCTCCTTTGTTCCACGGATCCAAGATCTTTGAGCTCGAGAGACAGTTTTTGTCCCATCACTGTTGTCTTGTATTATGAGATGTGGTTTGTATAATTCTAATGGTTTAGTTCTATCACTTGGTGGCGGAAAGTAGGGATCTTTTATCTCGTAATAATCAGGATTGATTGATCCTGGGAGGACAATTCCGAGTAGAGGATGTAGTTTGTGTGTATGTGCAATATGTGCAACATGACGCATATCTTCGATGGTATTATTTCCACTATTGATATCGCCTACACGCTGAGGTAGGAAAAAGTATTTGGGGTTAGGGCTGGTATCTGAACCAATAAAGTAATCCCGATTCCTTATGTTTTTAGTGGTCCACGAGCGGAAACCAATTTCTTGAATCCCAACTGAGCCATCTTCTAAAATTTGACCCTCGGCATCTTCGAAATGAAATGCCGGTGGGACAACCATGTGGTTATTTGGACGGACCTTGGATGTTGCTCGAAACTTTCTCTTCGGTATTCGAACCCCATATTGATCAAGAGGCATCTCTGCTGCATCGTCAGAGAAGTCAGTGACTTGATTTTGTTCATCATGTGCAGCTGTATCGGTATTAAGGGCCTGATCATCAAGTTGGATATCATCCTCATCCACATCCATCACCATCCCTGGGACAGCTGATGGATTGAATAGCCTACTAGTAGTTGCCGAATGTTTTTGGAAAATACCAAGTTTTTCGTCCTGAGATTTCTTAGTGTTTGCTTGAATGATAGAGTCATGTTGAAGAGTGATAGCTTTTTTCTGTGCATCAGATAGAGATTCCCAAAAATTGGCTGGATGTTGCTCTAAGAGGTTATCGCCCGGCTTGTTGGCACAAACTCCATCAGCGAGCTGGCCCTATTGATAAGTCAGTCTTGTGGAAAGCCTTGTTGATGATGAATTTACCCTTGAAAAGGGAATGGCAACAGGATGTACAATTTTAGCTGATGGTGGTAATCTTGTCACCTTTCTCCCGTCTTCCTACATCCTTGTGTTAGTCGCTATCACCCGAAAAAAAATCCCGAATATAAAAGTTGCAGACCTACTCCACGTTTGAAAGCGACATCTTCGACTTGACCGCCAACCTGACGCATATGTTCGACATAGAGAATTCTTTCCTGAACTTTAGCGATATTTTCTTCTTTAATATCTTCTAACTTATTCTGTAACGAGTTAGGGACAATAATAGCCTCCTTTTTTTGGGAAAACCATACTTTACATTGTTGGTTGATAAGGTAGACATTTTGTTCAGATAGGTGTTGCGCCAATTCTTGTTCATAACAGCGGCGAGCTTCAAGTTTCGATAATATGCACTTGAGCTGCTCATCTATATCCCGGGTGAGTTTATCAAACTCCGGTAACTTTTCGTGATAGTTGGAATCTTTGGCGACAAATTCCAATGATTTCTGAGCTAGATTCAGTAAGGCAGTTTTCTGACTCGAGCCGACTGCTTTGAAGAAGGTGGCAAGCTCAGCTTTACGAGCTTTTAACTCAAGGATATTGGGTGGATCGAGCTCAACTTTGGCGCGCCCTCGTTTCGTTTTATTTGATTGTTTTTTGCTGCCTCTCACTACTACTGACTTCCTAACGCTGGCATTGGAATTGGATCTTGCGCCTGCTCTATTACCGATACCGGTACCCCTTCCACGTCCGCGTGATGACATACTTAGTTGTTGCCGGACAAGCAACTCGCGTGTATTCCTAGTGTAGGTCTTTAAAGAGTGGATGCCAGACCTTAATAGAAGAGGAACAAAACTAGGAGAAAGAACTAACAATAGCTGAGTCAATCAGTTTAGGAAGTGCCGAGATAACTTCGATCAGTTAATTTGATATATTAGAGCCAACCTTTCTACTGATAATTCGAGTTGTATGTTATCCGCACCCAGAAAGAGCAAGAGCCTTTAGGACATTACTAGCTATTGAGAATGAACTAAGGAGCGATTCGTCCATAAGAAAGCTAGTGTTTATTCTCCAAAAAAGTCACCAATCTTACTAGAAACTGAATTGAGCTGCTGCTCAATTTGACAGAGTCTAACTCCTAAATTTGATTACCAACTTAGATTTGTCTAGGTTAAATAGTTGGGCTTTCAGAACGGAAGAGAATGTATTTATGTCGATGTAAAATCCCATAAAGATATGTTTACTGGAAAGAAGTCGTAATAAGGGTGAATTAAGAACTATACTACGTAGCTAGAATATTGCATTAAGGTTTGGGAATACACAGAACGATATCGGACTGACCTGAGTTGGGAACTTTCGTCCAGTAATATGGACAAATTATTGCTCTTAATTTATCACTTCATCTCCTGGGTGTTAGATCTCAATTGCAAAGTAAAATATTTTGTGGGGTTTCCTATCGGTTTTGACAGCAGCTAAGGGCTAGAACTGCCTGCCGTCGGGATGCAATGAGAAGTAGAACGGGAGGCGAACAAGGGAACCGCCGGCCGAATGACTGAAGACAGTAAGGATTAAGCCCGGGATTGGCAACTAAAGTTGAGTATTCCCCCCTAAGCGTCTAGAATGCAATGTCTCATTGCTGTCGTAGTCGTCTGTCAAGTTCCCAAGGCCAGTAGGATATGTGTAACTAACGCGGATGAAAGGAATTATGGATGATATGGACGAAGAAAAAAGGGTCGAAGAGGTTGGAGCGTTCGAGTGAGTGCGATTGAACGGTAGCTTGGCCACCCTATCAATTTCGAGCGCTTGGTAGCTCAAGACTTCAAACAATGCTGGACACACTCTATGTCCATCTGCGAGGGGGCCGGTATATTGAGTGGAGATAGGAAGTATTTTGGTCGTCCGGGGGGAGGGGACAGGGAGAGGCTGGTTACGGAATGGAAGAAGGACAGGGAAGGGGAAGTGGACGTTCTACTCCTGCAAATCGCCCGTCAAGCTTCCATACATGTGGACTGTGCTCGCTAGCCGAAGCGGCGAGTATTGACAAACCGAAGCTAACAACCCAAGCTACTTTGATGGAATAACAATTGTCAGAGGGATAAGAATTGAGCGTTAAAGTGTGGAGCGTTCGCCGCACGTCGTGAGCCAACAATACTTAAGAATTGTGCGTTATCTATCTCGAGCAAACGCGAACATTGATGCTTTGTCTCCACCGGTAATCTTTCAAGGGATCTGTCACTTCGGGTGAGATAAGTCCTTGTCAGACCCTATAATCCTAAACGATTACCGTAGACATGATAATGCGCTTGATTTAAATTCTTCGCTTTCTAAGCTAGAAAATTATTAACTCATTTAACGTTAGAATGAGATATTGCTTGAGATTTGCGCTTCACTCCTAACAATCTTCGCGCCATCAGTCGAGCAAAGGTGAAGCAGACACATGAAACAAGTAAAATAAAACTAGGTGGGTAGCACTAGGAACTGATGCCGACATTTCCTCAGACGCTAGATATTTAGCCTTATTTATTGGGTTATCCTGGTCCGACTACTTCATCGGATAGACCGTGCCTCTCGCGCTATCTCCACTGTAACTAAGGGCATTGCGCCCCTAACGGACCAGCCCCACACTAGGGTCTAACAGCTTTTGCATGACGCCGAGTATCCGAACATCTGGTCTCATGTTAATCTACAAAGGACCCGGAGATACATCTTCCTTCTATACGTCTCTTTGTTGGCTGCTAATTTAGCTGCACTCCTTAACAGAACTTTAGATATCAGTTGATTGCAGAATTTTCCAGCTAGATCGTCGTTTTTCGGCTATTGGCAAATATCCCATCGTTTATCACTTACCGCTTCAAACCAAAATTGAAGGCAAATTTATCTTTACGATAATGCTGATTCGGGTTTGATGCCTCCATTTACGATAATGGGCGTTTACCTTCAAGTGAAATGTGCGTTTCTTTAACTCACAGAGAAACCAGCTAACGGGGACAGGGGGAGAAGAAGAATGAGAGTGACAATGAGCAGATGTTATTGTTATCAGTTGAGATAAGACTTGTAGTAGAGAGAATCCTGCCCTCTTAAATAGGATTCTCTATGCCTTGACCGTTTTATCCTTACTGAGAGCCATCACTCGGTCCCATATTCACGATTAACTCTAGATTGCGATAACTATTACGAGTGACCATTCGTTGGCGCCTGTAAACGATGAATGTATAGATGAGTGAACAACTACACATGGTGGATTGCTAAAGGGTAAAAAGATTTAAAGGCGATACTCATTGCTCTTCATCATCCGGCTGGTCAAAAAGAAAGTTTGCCGCTAGCTCTTCATTTTTATCAAAGGCAAAGTAGGCTTGAATTGCCATGTCACGAGGAAATCCTAATAAGCAAAGCTTTTTTGATTAGTTCATTTGATTAAAAAATGGCAACCGACTTACTCGTTCAATAGCAGCACGTTCGTCTTCGGTCACACTAATCGACTGAGCTCCGGGTGGAAGAGGTGTATCGCCTTCAGCATCCTCGCTCAATAATTGGAGGAACTGTTGGGAATGATCTCCTATCAACGCTGCTAGTTGTGGATTTCCCGCACCAACTTGTTGCAGCAAAGGCTCTAGCATTTGGGGTTGTTGTTGAACAACCTGACGAAGTTGTTGAAACTGAGGATTGTTTCGTAAGAAATCAAGGTTTCCTAGCCCACCAGGATTAGCGCTAGTACCAGTTCCCGCATTACTCAATGGATTTGATGCACCGCGAGAGGCACCACTCCGTGGTCCAGCTCCGTAGCCGAGTGCTGCTGCTGCGTCAAAGAGATTTCTGGGCGCATCTTCGGCCTCAACGCTGGGAACAGCGGCCGGAGCAGCAGGGTTTGCAGCCGGTGGATTTGATGTCGATGAAACACTATCAGGTATACCCTAATAAAAACTTAGCGTTACTATATACTGTCAATAGAAAGAGTACACAAACATTGAGGAGATATTCAACGGCTCGCTCAGAATTGAAAAACGCCGCACGCATGGCCGCGTCAATTTGTGAGCGCTCAAAACCCATGCTTTCCAGACCAGCAATTTGTGCATCTCTTTCTACCCCCATGGATAATCCTGATGTGGCTGGACCAACTGAAGAATTGGAGTCGGCATTTTGTGTGTTTGCGGTGGGAGATGATGTTGCAGCTTGAATATTTTCATTTCCTGATGCAGTCGGCTGAGATGGGGCTGCTGGCGTTGATAACGTGTTATTGGGTATTGGAGTCGAGGGAGCCTTGGCGGTAGATGCTGGTATAGGTGGAATCGCCTTGGGCTAGGACATGTCAGATCAGGCTGGTTATTCCCAAACAAATATAAATTACCTTAGCAGTCATGCAGACTATAAAGCCTCTCTCCTCGATATTATAGGACTCGACGGTATTAGCATCCTGAAGTATTTTTCCTATTAAAATCGTCATTAACCGATATAAGTTAGAAATATTATTCTAATTTTATCATACCAGAGTAGATCAACTTCTGGGTTGAAGCATCCCATCCTTTTTCCTCCGCTATTTTCGCCTTAAGTGTTGAAATCTATGTAGATATTGTTAGCATGTCGTTTGCTCGGGTAAATCCGCGCGAAAGTTGATAAAAACTTTTATTCCGTACCAGATCTGATGGCTCGGCCTCGATTATGAATTTATTCTGCTTCAGATCCTAGACAGAAGCGGGATTAGCAGGGAATGTGGTTTAAGAGAGAAGAGTTATTGATTAGTTACTTACCCTGAAAGAGAGCTTCATTTCTGTGGAAACAGTAGGAGTCAACTGGAACAGCGAAAGTTTGGGGGTTCCGTTATAATCGAGGCGGAGATGTCTGGTGACTTTTGTAATTAGGTGATGTATTAGCACCTACAACGTGATTTGCGTTCGTGTCTTCCGAGAATAACAGGGGTCGAGCGAGACTAAAAATAGGGTAATGAAACCTCATGAAGATTGTACATTAGCGGACGAGGCTAAGTGTTGAAATTAGCCGTCAATACACCTACTATGGTGGTATCATCACCAGATATGTAAAAAATAACCGGCAAATTTAACGTTTCTATTTACCTTTATTTTAACTCGAAGCTTTCTCGGATAAAGAGGATAACTGCTTGGTATATCGCTTGATATAAGGATTTCCGAAGAGAAATTTGCAAGCCCCAATTGTTTCGAAGTACCGGCAAAGACGATTTCTTTATCTTCCAGTGGTGCCGGTGTAATCGCTCATTATGCCCTGCATATCCGTGATATCCAAGAAGAATCGCATCCGAATAGAAGTCGAAAACAAACTCATCAATATCGGTCTTGTCATTCTCACGGGAGTCTTTTACCTCAACCTTACCACACACCATCTCGCGTCAGAACCAGATGAAGGCGTTAGTCTAATTGCAAACAGGATCTTACCTCATTCATCTCCGTCCATTACCCACTTCAAATTTACGATGCTACGTATATACACAAGAAGGAAATTAAATCGAAATATACAAAGCCTGGGACCTAGCTTATGGGAGACCGTTGCTCTAATGGGTCTCTGCCTATTGAGGGAGGAAGGACAGTTGGGACGTGGGATTAAAGTGGGAAAAGTTCACCATTGGGCATAGCGTCACTTACGTCTTTCTTTGGCCTTTCGACTTTCAAATATTTGTGGGCGCCAAGACTAAGATTTCGGCTAATTAGCTAGGAGTACTTCTATTATCGATAAGTCTGCGACACCCCCCAGTACTACAGATAGAATAAATGATGTTGGGCTAAGCTACCATAGAGCAATTACAACCTTTGATAACTTTTCTGAAATTTCAGCACAACCTTTGGGGAAGTGATGGAAAGATGCTAGAAAGTTAGAGTGTTATTCCCCGAGGTATACATAAATCTACGGTGCCCAGCTGTCCGGCCTCTTCGACCGCTTCAAAAGGGTCATTATGACTTCGGACTTAGCCCTGATGTCGGTATTTGCAGAGCTCTACACCCATTGATTTTTGCGACTCTTCCCGGCTGCCATACACCCGCAAATGGTCATCGTTTCGTTGGCTGGAGAGGGGAGATAATGAAGGGCAAAGAGCTTCTACAAGTGTATGATTGAATGAAGATTTGTGAGGGGTGTTATTGCTTGAGGGGAGCTCTATGGAAGGCATAGGGAGGAAAATACTACTATATAGATATCCCTGGCCTGTAAGCAGAGAGAACTTGCATGTCCTATTTGGTCATAGACTAAGATGGGACAATAAAATCAAAATAAATGTTCCCAAGTTCCTGTGGTGGCAGAAGCGAAGTGTTGAGTCAATAAGGGTATCCATTTTGTAGGGAGCTCTCATTCCAAGGTAGATTTCAAACTCATCAGATACTATCTCTTCATCGATCCATAATCTAATTCCTACTCTCAGAAAGCACTTTTCCACTGAAGCATCATTAAGTTTACAAGTACGACTCATTATATCCTCACTTCGATGAATTCACCTCTTGTCAAACATTCTTTTGCATCAGCTCGCCATCAAATACAAGCTCATGCTAATATTAAAACCGCCTAGAGAAAATGAATTGTAGCGCATAAATCTAGTAGGCAATTCTTTGGGATGAATGAGAGGGAATTTAGGACAAAGTTAAAAGGTGATGCAAAAGAAGCGTACAATCTCGGCGAATTTGAAATTTTAAATCTTGACAAGGAGTTTTACAAATTGAGCTTTGTGCTTGTCATGACGTAAATTACAATAGTGTGAGTGAGTGATGTTTATTATACTACTTGAGTCTATGACTATCTAGCACATTGGGCTCCTTTCTGACCCAGGCCACACCTTGTACAGTGCTCCTTGCCTCTCATGTTTCTTGAAAGATCATTGATATATTCCCCTTGATGAATAGCCATTCAGCTCAGAATCTACCCATAGAATTCGGCCACCTTTTCCACGGAACCTTCTACTCAAATAAATAAAAATGGTAGCAATGGAAACTGCGTGTGCGGGAAAATTCTCAAAAAGCCTGCAGCCCAAGCCAGGTGAGGCCTAGACACCGGGACTACATGAGGTGCGCATATTCATCTATTTTTCCCTTCTTTGTAACATTCGAGGACATCTTGATCCAGTCCATCATCGCCGTATCGGGTACTGGTTACGCTCCAGAAACTCATTGAATGGCTTTTCCTCCATGATCAAGGATTGGTGATGAGAAGGGCTTCGACTCTACCATGTGATCTGATCGTGGCTAGCTTCATGATAATGGTGTCATGGGGGTAATGCTTAGGGATGAAGACAATACAGACCGCGAAAGCGATTTGGAATCCTCGTCGAAGTGAGGTCTGTGTTGCTCAATCTTGGCTCTGCAGACTGTGAGGGAGAGCTGGAGGTTTGTAGGGGACACCACTGTCAGGTATTGAGAATAGTCCACCTATGGTTATTCGAGTGTGATTACATCATCCCACAAACGCAATAACACTGCGAGAGAGTGTGGTGTGTGGTTATTACTGGATTCGAACCAACTTCCTCCTGTCTTGAATGGGGTAGGTGTTCAAGCTACCTAGAATCTACTTGGGAGAACGGCACGAATGGTGTACTGCTACACTATCCAACCAATGGGAAAGGAATACGTGCTAGCTGTATGGGGTTGATGAATGAAAGTTTCTTTGTGACGGGCACAAGCTCTGCACTCAAAGAGTATGACACTGAAAAGACTAGCTTCCCCGACGATTATGTACGACGATAACCCAAATGATATTTGGACTACTCATGTTGTGGGTACATTCGCTGATACCACTCGAAACCTTGGTGCTAGAGACTTTAACCCTTCCCTCAACCCTTAATATCCACCAAAGGGAAAACAAGAAAAACATTTGGCTACCCTAACATGCCTTTGACATCTTGTATATAGCCACTGCGCGATGTATGGCCTCGCATTTCTCCCTTTCTCGAGTGAGGTAGGTGTCCAGGCTACCCAGACTTTAATTCGGGGAGATGACGACCAGGAGGTGGACTAGAACACCTTCCATCGTTGCCTATCTTTTGAGTGTCGGTTGCACTATCCGAAATCGTTGCCTCTGCGTCCAAAGAAACCCTTAAGTCGAAAATACTCGAAAGATGTGCGTCCCTGCATGCCAATTTGCGACCTCTTCACTCGTTCATCCCATGTCCTAGCTGCCTGTCCTCCCTCAAGATGTGAAGCCCTATAGACCAAGTCCCGAGCTTTGTAGATTATGACTTGATTTCCTCCTCGCGGGGATACATAGCATCGTAATTTTGTAGTGGGAGATGGCCGGTTTTTGATGAGGAAATTGCCCGATTGCAATTGGAGTAACGCCATTATCGGTAGTTGAGGCGGGGTGGAGTAGTAAGATTGAAGTAGAGGACTCGCGTGAGAATGACAAGAAGTCATCGATTTTAGATATGCTTGAGGTTGCTCTCGACCCCGATTCGGATGCGATTCTTCTTGGCTATCCCAGATATACAAAGAATACTGAGCGACTCCACTGGCACCACTAGAAGGTGAAGAATTCGTCTTTGCCTGCACAAACGATGAGAAATGTCTATACATAACATTGTGATATAGTCATGATCATTTGAACAATATGATATAATGAATGAGCCATGTCTCTACATGACACACAGAAATCCAAGGAAACGAAGAGGCAAATGCCATTGCCCATGCCGCACGACGATAATTGCCCGGCCCGGATACACAACCAGGATCTAGTACTCTAGCATATCTTCGTAGAATAGCGAATCACAGACGACAAAGATTGCTCGACAACTGGTGAGAAGAGGCCTGTCCGCCTCAATGCCACCAATTTAACCTACAGGTGCGGAGTCTCAAACCACCCAAGCTATCACTCTCTAGGCACCTCCTCCGCGAACTATTCGCAGTCCGAACAAGACACAGCAATTTTGCGACATACCATCGATATTTTAACAACCCAAAAGCTCCTATGGAGTACACTCGCGGGAAGGAAACTACTCCATCCCACTTCACCCACTGTGGCCACTACGCATAACACGCGCGTAGGCTTCGAAAATCTATGTCCCACGTTGACTTTGTCAAAAAGCTTCTCGAACCCAATTGCCACGAAAGCCTCAAAATAATTGCAGAGGAAACCGGCTGTTTTGGTAGCCAGCCTGACCACTCATCCACTGCTCTCATCGGGGATCGGACGAACTAGTCATTGCTACAATGCATGACACGAAAGGGAACGGGGTGAGAAGTATCGTCTCTCTGAGGAAAATTGTATTTACTTGTATATAGGGGTAAAGGATGAAGTTTCGATTTCAGAGTCGGAATAGGTGGTGTCTTCTGAGTTGTAACTTATATTCTCCTTTTTCTGTAGCGGATCTCGCGGTTGAAACGAGCTGGGCCTGTAAGCAGTGATCCCCGCCGGCTTAATTAGTCTTGTTCCTATAGTGAATCTGGTGCATTAGCTTAGGACTTTAACAATAAAAAAATAAAATTCGAGAAATTCGAAAATAACCTTTTTCCAACCCCTCTCGGATTCGTCGCATCCATCTCTTAATTATAATCGGGTCAGTTGAAATTTTTAAGGGATTTCCTCATCTATCCTCCGTCCTCCAGAGGATTGGAGAATCGTCCAAACCTCCTCCGACTGCGTCAAAATCAACGTCGCAGCCAAAAGCTGCCACGAAAGCAGACTCTCCTCCGAAACTTCACTCTATTCTCGAAGCTGAATAGCGACGCGCCGCCATTGCGCAATATATGGCCTCGTGCCAGACTCCCACGCCACTCGTCTTCCCTCCTCTGAGGGCTTCCGATGCTAGGAGCCCAGTCATACCCACTGTCCTAGCGCTGCCTATAAAAAACACCTGGGCCACGGTAGCCAAAAACGGACTGCCACAAAAAGCAGTCCCTTCAGTAAAGGCTATGCCGCAACCTATGTTCAAAGCCCTAAAGAAAGACGCCCTGAAGACGAAAGTCGACAGACGATCTTTCGTCCGCCTCGTTAACGACCACCCGTGGCGTAAGATTTAACCTGTATGCGCACGAGAGAAGTAAAGGATAAACTGGGGGAAGTCATAGGTGATACCAGCTGCTTCCACCAAATCAGAACCGGTTTTGCGATTCTAGAAAAGGATGAAATCGTAAGGCAAAGGCTCCTAAATGCGGCTTCGAAACTGGCGAATGTCAACGTCAAACTCGAAGAAGCTTCCGACCTTAACGCCTTTCGATTCGCCGATGTACCTGCGATTATCAACACTATTAACGCTACTAATACGGTCAATGCTGAGGGGTCTCAGCCGAGATCCACCAAAAACTCGCATGAAGCCAATCCTGGTGCGCCATACAGAAGCTGGTATACTCATTTTGCTCGAGATTCCGCCCTTCGTGCAAGCTTCCACATCTTCGATGATTCTGAAATGGCTATAAAGCACCAGCCTCATCGAAAAATTCCTCAGTTTTATCGCTGCCTCGGCTTACACGCCCTCGTGGTTGCTTCCGCGCTCTGGACTGCCAGAATTGTGGATCAACGATGCACTCTAAAGCAGAATGCAAGGCCTCTAGTAGATGTCGAAACTGTGGGGGACCTCACCGATCGTTCTCGCGAGATTGCCAAGCAAGGCCAAACAAGCTCGGTCCAGTGGAGAAAAAGCTGCTAGAAGCTATACATCGATCCGAGCACTTATTGTATGCAAAAACTGCCCTTGCAAAAGTTGCAGCCAAAAGGGAAGAGGAAGCGATTATCGCCTCAAACAGACACGTCTTCATGGTAGAGGGATCAGACTATGGAGTTCTGGAGTCCGAAGAAGAAGTTTGAGGACCCAGTGACCTCTATAACGCCTCCTAACGGCGTTTCACTTACCAGTAGTAGGATATCAGCTCAATGAATGGAACTTGCTAACTATCTCTCGCTCTCGGAAGAGATTGGAAAAGTTTTCATTTGAAGGTATGACAGGTGAAGGGATATATGAGGAGTGCATTGCTGGGGCTTAGGATGGAGGAATCTTCCGGTTTTCTTTCGAGACTGTTTTTTTTGATTTCCTGTTTTTTTGTTTCGTAATAATCTGCTGTAATTCTGGTGGCAATTCACACGGTTGGAATGAGTGGGCTGTGGAAAAGAACACAGAGATCCCTAACGGCTCCACCGGTCCTGTACCCATAGAAGGACGTAAAGCTTCTACTTTAGCTCAGGACTTTAAAACTCAACTACTCCTGATGACCGGTGCTATGTTTACATGTCGGGTGACTCTTTTGACGTTGGAGACACTCATACTCTGGGTTTCATTTGCAAATACCACTATGAGGTATGTTTGCTTACACAGTCAGTTGATCCTCCTCCGTAAGTACCCATAAAGAGGAATTTCAAAACCTTTGATTATCCAAGCATGCCTTAATCATCCATATAAACTTGCACCGCGAGAAATGTGGTTGTGTTTTGCCGGATTCGAACCAGCGGTCTCCTGTCTCGAGTGGGATATATGTCCTAGCTATCCATAACTTACCTGGAAGAACGATCAAGACGATATAACACCGCACCATCCAACCATTCTGGTGTTTGTAGTGTCGCCTATACACTCGTATCCAGAGTCTTGGCGTACGCACAAATCTCAATCCGTAAAACTCACTGTCAAAATTCCAAATTTTACGCTCGTCGAGGTTGTACTCATTGTCTGAATCATCTTATGAACTTGTCTTGATTCCTCTCAAGTCCATCCCAAAAATCTTTCTCCCAGATTTGTGCGTTACGCTTTATTTCCTCAGTCGGGTGTGAAAATTGGCGTGGGCACGAGTTTGGTGATCAGCTGGGGCCAGAGAAGGTCGAAGAGAATTGTGGTCATCGAAAGGAGGATGTATCAAGTCGTACCTATCAACTTGGTGAGGTCTTGGTGGGGTCGATCTCGCTGGGTAGGAGAGATTGATTAGACAAGAGTCTTGAATCATTGACTCGTGGGCCAACTTATTCGGTATTGCGGATTTTGACTGAACTTGGATCTGTGAACGGATTTCACTCCCAGGTTTATAGAGAACACCGCGTACAGGTGTCCAGTCTTGGCCTATGAGCGAGACAAATAATTGGCCTTATCGCCGGTATTAGGTGTCAAGGCAACATACCCCCCGTACTTGACCAGATCGGCTCATTTTCCACGCACCCGTTAGTCCTTTTTAAGTATAATGATCAGCGGGAGCCCGATCGACACACTAGAATAAGACCATGGATGTTGAATCGGCAACTCAGCGACCAGGCAGCGTATCGGGAAACCCCGATACGAAGAATACTATATCTTGTGACCCGATCACTCAGGATTACAAAAACTATAGTGAGTCGTGTTTAAATTCGGGTCAGTCCCAGCCTATCGAATTCCAAGCTACTGGAAGCCGAGATGAAGAGGTTTCTCGGGAGGTGACGGCAAGCTGCATCGAATCTGAGTCCTTGAATGTGGAGTCTGAACCCACAGGCCTACATGATCACCCAGCAAACAAGCCTACTGACGATGAAGTCATTATCTCTCCAGCAGGGCTTATACCAGACTTGCCTTTCGAATCCATCTTCGAAATTCACAATATAGATATTCAAAATCAGTCGTTAGAAGATGACGAATGGAAGGGCGCCCACAAAGCACAAAAAGATTTCTTTCCTAGTGGGGCAATTGGAGCGCCTCCGACGATGCCAACCGAGTCCCTTGGAGCTATCAATTACTCCCCTCGAAAGGACCTGCCCTCCTCTCAGGACAACAAAGCATTGTTTCGCGCCTTTGCTCAGCAAAACTCCAACCTAGGTCAGATCGATCAACCAGAGCATTTAACTCGCTCGATAGCAGCAAATATTCATGCTTCTAATTTACAGACACCGATAGTAGGAGAGCTTACAGAACCTAAAGACACTGTCTCAAGCCCAAGGCAAGAAATCACGCAAAATAACGATATCATCATAACGGAAATACATTCATCTGAAGATATGAAGAACCCATCGACTCCAGTGAGAAGCCATGTAGGAAAGGCTACTCACATTGTCACTTCAAGAATAGGTACTGAAGCACAGATTAAACCAACAAATCCCGATTACCTCACTCCCAATGCGCCGGAAACTTCATCAGAATCCCAGCGTCTACGGAAGCGTCCCATATTTGACAATGTAGATTCTGAATCTAGGGAGCTTAGGCGATCAAGTACGCCAGGCCATAACACTCAAGAAGCAGCTCCAAAACTGCCTGAGCATCACCCGTCAGATGTTAATGAAACTGACAATCACGGTTCTGGGTCGATGGCCTGTGCCGGCACCACGCCTTCGGAGTTAACTCGCACTATCACGCACAACATTAGCAATTCAGCTGTGAGGCAGCCATCCCCAGCAACTTCAAAAGGTGATGATGAGCGCGGGTCGTTAGCTGTCGCGCCTCAGGCGTCGCCTCGCACCCCATCTATCCCAAATAAAGAGGTACTTGCAGCCGAGCTCAAAGCTATGCGCATCGTACTGTCCCCCCATATATGTCAAGATCCCCGCTAACCTTGCCCTCAATAGGCGTCTATTACAGCACGCAACACCGCACTCGCTGCCGAAGTAGACCGTACGCGTATGATTCTCGCCTCCCGTACCCAAGAGTTACGCGCTCCTGCTGCCGATACTGTCCGCATGCATATAGAGCTACTTCATGCGTACAACGAGATTCGCGATGTAGGCCAAGGTCTTATCGGTATGCTTGCTGAGCAGCAGGGTGTGCGCATAGGAAGTCTCTATGAGAACTTTGGTGTTGGCATCAAGGACTAGAGCGTGAAAGGTGTTCTAGCGCTTTCCAGGCTAGCTAATCAATGAACATCAGTCCTGTTTCTAAGCTGATGCGCTAGCTATTAGCTCACTTCATCAGCTACAAAGCTTATAAATTACGGCAAAGCCATTGAATAAATTTATGTCTGTGTTGTGATGACTTTGCAGGGCACCTACAGTCATTTTCAAACACTATTCGATCACAAATCAGTTAGGTAGAACCTCAGCTTACCTGTTCCTGTGGAAAGAACAATATGGTTGTACTACTTTCAGTGCTACATAGTGTATCAGAGAGTATATCTCTTTTGTCGCTGAGCTAAAACCACAATGTGAGGTTAGAAACTCGGACATTGGCACCAGAAATTTGCAACGCTTATCATAGATTCACTAGTAAGGCCAAGAGAATAAAGTTGCTGAAAACTTTTACTGAGAGAGTGACGTTGAATTGATATTTCCAAAGTCGATTGGGTAAATCCCTTGTGAGGCCCGAAATTCAGTTAGCATGTAATATTAATGAATCAACGTTTACTTCTGGGAACTCTTCATGTACATTATGACATGCGTGAGGTTCGAATAGTGAATGCTAATTTCCATCGATTAATAGCCACACAGCTTCAATGCACATGATATCTACAAGCATTAGTGTGCCGTCTATATCCAAACTATCTTCATGTATATTATTACTTCAAGTTGCGTCTGCAGTTAACTCTATAGATTTAAAGTTTACTAACTGGTCAGGTTATTAAAAGAGCTATAACAGCGTCTAGCCCTGATTAAAAAGCAGTGATTATTGGGATCAAGGCCCCCCATCTAGATCTCGACTACTATGGTAATCCCTGAGAGGTGCCTTCCACTAACTTGGCCGCAATTACTCCTATGCCTTCAAGTTAGTAAAAATTATAGAAGTTCTTATTATCGTATGATAAATTGACATTTCGAAGCCAAATCCAAAACTTATATGGAATTGACAGGAAATTACTAATATATGTATTTAAAATGAACTAGCAAAAGAATTTACTATTAACCCAGGTCACACCTAATATGACATAGTTATTATTTATCAGAAAACCTACGCCATCATAAAATCCGACCTTAAAACTCAAAATCTTGATACAGGTTTATCGCGTCTCTTGAATTTAGGGAAATCATCAGGGCTGGAATCCCAGAAAATTTCGGCTCATTTTTTATCTTGCTGCTAACTGGCATTTATGTTGATTTATAAAATCGGCCTACATTGGTTATAAATATCTGATCCAGATGGAACTTGGCTGTATTCCTAGAGAAGGGATTTATTTTTGGTTAACATACTTTACTTTACTAATGTCGTTGACTAGAAACAAAAATATCTGCCCTCTTCGTCGGAGGTGGTGGAGGTGGCTTCTTAGCTCTATTAGGAGGTGGCGGAGGAGGCCCCTTGCGGCCACTGATTGTGTTACTTCTTGTCATATAATTTATATTATGTGATTTACTCGCAACACTATCATGTGAGGTCGCAGGACTGACGGATCTCTCCCTGTGTGATCGTTCGGGACTATAATTTTGTGTAGCTGACTCATCAGAAGGATCGCCGAAAACGTCCTGGCGGTCAGTATTAGTACGACTGGTAGGACGAAGTCCTGCACGGAGTGCTGCCACGTCTGAATTTTGCCGAAGACCTGACAGTGGTGTAGATTCGCGGTGCGAGTTGGTAGATGCGCTATTGTAGAGACTAGGGCGACCACCTTGGGGTTTCAAGTTCTCTTCAGCAGAAAGAAATTCATCATTGTGATTTAGTCGCGGATTGTCTTGGCGGGAGGCAGATGAAACGCGTCCACGCGACCGGATAGACGGACGGGGTTCAGGCTCAGGTGTCGATGGTTGTTCATCATGATTTGCATGGCGTTCGCTGTAAACATGCGCAGTTGTTGTGTTAGAACGCGATCTCGGCGCTGGTCTTCTAGAGTCTCGTGGTGTGGAGGGTGATTGCCTAATAGTTAACTCTACTTAGCCAGCCTCAGCAGAATTGCACGCATGACCTACCCTGAAGGCCAATCTCTTTTTAATCTAAGCAGTTCATCGCGACATCTATCATAATATTCTAGCTCGGCATCGACAAATTGCCCAAGGTCAACTAGGCTATCGGCTTCTGCTTCTTTAATGTCCTGCATGCGCCTCATTACATCTTCACTCGATTCTTCGTACTTGGCCTTTTGAGATCGTAGCTCTTCCTCAACACGAAAGTCTTCCTTTTTTGATTTCTGCATCTTTGAAAGTGAGGCATCATATGCAAGCCGGCGGTTCTCTAGTTTTTTTCGTGCCGTCTGCTGATATCAGGAGTGGATAATGATTTGTGTGGACTACACACCTGATACTCTTTCATCATGGCCAGAGAGCGTTCGAGACTCTCAAGCCATCCTGTTGTCGCACTAGATATGAAACTTTCCTGAAACCTTGCGATTCGTTCATTAGTACGACCCATGCCTACTCATCGTCAGGAGAAAGATTTTGGGACTGTAGCGATAAGTGACACGAACTGATTAAACAATTTCCAAATTCAGAGTCAGGTTCAAATTCCTCGCCGTGCTGAATCATGGCCTGCCCCAAGTATCCGACAGGTAGCTTCTTCTCTTTATCGTCTCCTTCATTGCGGGTCGAGAGGTTTTTGACGTAAATTGTCATTGACTTGTGAAGCTTTTCCATTCCTACTCCATATCAGCTCACAAGTAGGTTGGCATTAATGGTAGACAGACCATCGTGTCGGAGGTTCATTTCACACTCCAAGCCCTTAAATTGATCGGATACATTCGTTTTTGCCTCAGCGCCCATCTTCTCGCCGGCCCATTGCTTAACACGGTCGAGCTTCTTATTTATATTCATTTTAAAGTAACCTCTGTGTTGGTACTGCTAATGTTGGTAAACTACAAGCAAGTGCGTATTGCTGTACTGTATTAGGCTAAAATCAGAAATAACCAACCTTTGGATAGGAAGAATCGTTGATTGTGGCGAAAAAGAGATAAATTGAAGAAGGTAACAGTTAGTAGATGATGCTGCAGGTGCGAATTCTGGGGTTGTTAGGTTTTATCACGGAGTGGAGGGGACGGGAGAGGCATAGGATAGGAAACAAGTCAGGAACTGATACAGGGAAGTTAACCGGCCCTGGCGGGGGCTGAAAAGGCTGAGTCAGGGGGTTTCCCTGAGATTCTCAATCGTTAAAGAAGGATGGACCGTCTGTAGGTGTTACAAAAGGACGCATTTATTACAACTTGGCCTTCTCACTATCACATGCTACCAAAACAGAACTCCAAAATGTGAAAATGTTCGTCAACAGCAAGTAGACTGTTCCGTATGTACAGGATAAAAAAATTTGACTGATAAAAATTTGGTTCCATACTCAAATAATGTTTCATGGCATTAAGTACTATACGAACGGGCGACGTATGGGTTTGGCACGATTGCAAGCATTTTTACATATAAAATGAAACTGCTCGTGTTAAGATAAGCCAATTTTATCTCTTTTACAGTATTCAATCCGTAGTTGTGCTGTACTTTTGTGGCAATCCCACCATAAATACAAACAAGGCGCTGGAGTGTCTAGACAATGAAAGCCAGCATAAATCAGTCCTCAATTTGATTTTGATTCTTAGATTTTATATATTTGGAATTATATTAGTGGCCCGAAGTTAAGTGGCTAGATATGATGCAATTTTCTAGTTTGAACGCCTACTAGTTTTCATAGCTATGCAAAGATAGCAAATGCCGGTTTCGTGCTCTTCAATTATTCACTCTTCGATCTTTTTTTAGCATCAGATTTAAAATTCGTATGCAGCAAATTAGCTATTACACAATATCAGAGAAAAGGTACAGAATAGATGACTAAACTTAAAGCTAGAGCACTCATGCCTCGGATTTCGTTTGCAAGTACCACTGCGAAGTTATGGTGGCTTTTTCTTCACCCTGAGTCAACCCTCATCCGTAAATACCCATCCCGGCAAACGTCTCAAAACCTCTAAGTTACGAAGACATGCCTACATCATCCATCGCCTAGTCTCCGTGCGAAATGTGGTTTGAGGCATCTCCCTTCCCAGTGGAGTGGGTGCCCTACTACTCAACCTTTACCAGAGATCACCACCGAGGGGTGAACCATGGCACTTTCTATCATTGGATTGATTTTGCAGTGTTAGCTGCACTCTCGCATTCGAAAGCCTGGCGCGAACAATGCTCTTCCATATGTAAATCTCGTCAAAATTTCAAATCTCGCCCCTGCCGAGTTTATACTATTTCTTTAAAACACCCTGTAAACTTGTCCAGATTCCTCTCACGCCCATCTCAGAGACCTGCCTCCTAAACTTGCACGCTACAGTATTTGTCATTCTACGGGTATTCATATCGTCGTGGGCGCATATTAAGTGGCAAGATGAGGTCAGAGAATGGCTGACAAGAGGTGCGGTCATTGAATTGAGGATATACATGCTCGTAATTGCAGACTTGATGAGATTTTGGTAGGAACCGATCTCGTTGAGACTGAGGGATTGAAATGGTGGAGTATCTTGAATCATTGCCTCGCGGGCTAACCTAATCGGTTTTGCGAAATTTTACTAAACTTGTTTGTTGGTGAATAATCCATCCCTAGGTTTATAGAGGACATGGCGGAAAGGTAATCAATCTTTGCCCTCCCCTATTTGAACATTACGGTATAGAAAATTCAGACGATATACATTCTCTCCTTATGCCAAAATAGGGATAAGAGATAGTTTTGTTATCTGGCTATTAAAATTTTCTCGCTGTAGGAAAGTGTTAAATTACAAGAGCCTTGGTCAAACATAATCATTCTTATATCCTCAACGTAATGGGGTCAGGGTTGTGGTAAATGTTAACTTGAGATTATAAGGGTAAGGCGTTTGGGGATTTTACATACCCTGTTTTATTATTCCCTTATTAGCGTGTAGATTAGGCTAGTAGACACATATTAGTAGGAGCAAAGTCGCAGGATGAATTAATGCTGTGCGTGCCGTGAGATATACACGTTCTGCTAACCCTATACTTTATCAGTTCTACTTCCAATATTACAATATCACCCGTCTAAAGGAAACATAATTTAATAGAAACTGGTATAATTGAGAGCTGATTCTACTAAGTTACCAGGATATATTAGCAGTGGATTGAAAATCTCGAAGTTATTCAATCATTATAGCTGTTTAGAGAAAATAGATTTCTAAATCACTATTTTTATGCAGGTCACGTATCCTACGCAACAAAGAATGTAAGACAATGAAGACAGAAGTCCCAACACTTGTTATCGGTGTCCTCCACGAACATCAAGCTCTCACTGTCGAGTTTGCAGTGCCAAGGCTGAAGTCAACGCTAAAAAGACACCCTCTGAACTCAACGAGACTTGGCCATTTTCCACCACTCGAGACAGCGTAAATTTGCCATGCCAAGCATACGTAAAACACACGCCATATCGAAAACCTTTGACATTTAAATCTAATTTTTGATTTATCCTGAAGCACAAAAGAGCTTAGCTTCGTTGATCGGGGAGGGTACAAAGTGAGGTGTGAGATACAACTATAAGCTGATCGTCGAATGTAGACTTACGCAGCTTAGTCTCTCTAAGTTTCATTTAAAGCTTGTGTCCAAAAGTACAACCCCTGTCGAAGCAAAGTTATCCTTGGCCTATTGATGTAGCGCACATAAATTATGAAAAGTATCAGGCTTCTACGCCAACTCATCCCTGAATATTTGTCCATGGAGTACAGACATCTAAACAGCTTCCTAGCTCGCTGAGCACCCAATTTTATCTAAGAAGTTTAAATGAAAATTTTTATTGTCACTCAAAGCCCTGCATGCGCACGTACAAGTTTGGCTCTACCCACTGGGCGGGATGCAAAGTATGACTCATTTCTTACAAGTTGAAGCCGACAATAACGAATTCTTCACCTTCCAGTAGTGCCAGTATTATCGCTCAGTATGCTCTGCATATCTGGGATAGCCAAGAAGAATCGCATCCGAATCTAAGTGGAAAGCAACCTCTAACACATCTCCATTTGACGACTTCTCGACAATGCCTCTCTTACCATTCTCATCTGAGTCCACAACCTCTCTATAACCACGCATCATCTCGCCTCGACGACCGATAAAGGCGTCACCCCAATTGCAGACAAGAGCTTGCTTCATTCATTACCGACCATCACTCACTACAAATTTACGACGCCACGTATACCTGCAAGGAGGAATTTAAGTCATAATATACAAAGTTGGGGTCTTGGTTTATGAGGGACTGCTGCTCTAGTGAGGTTATACATCTTGAAGAAAGACAGGCGGCTGAGATGTGGAAAGAAGTGAGTGTTTATTGTCCTAATGAGTCTATAACTACGTAAGGACATGTAGGTCCTTTCTGCCTACAGGCCGGGAGTATCTATGCCTCGGGTAGTGTACTCCCTCCCATGCCTCCTTCACGACTTCTTTCCAGCAGTAATACCCCCACAGGTCTTCATTCGAGTACACACTAATAAGAGCCGTTATCCCGTCATTGTCTCCCCTCTCCAGCAAACGAAACAATGGCCATTTGCGGGTGTGTAGCTGAAGGGAAAAGTCTCAAAAACCACTGGGTTAAGGGCTCTCCTATGACGAAGAGGCCGGCCAGCCGGGCGCAGCAGACCTGTGTATACCAAAGAGTGTCTCTCAACCTTCCTAGCCTCCTCCTTGCTCCTCCCCTGAGTTATGCCGCAGGACAAACCAAAGGTCGTGAAAGGATGTCAGAAAAGTCTTAGTCGAGAGTGACTGTCATGAAGAATCCTGGCTTAGCATCCAATAGTCGTTACGGACGTAGGGTTGTCGAGTAACTCATGTATTTCAGATGCCTTCCTGGCTAGTAGATTCGGAAGTGTAGATTAGAAGGGACGATATTGTTAACGAGTTGGAATCTACTTTCCTTGGGGGCGTAAGGGTCTTTTGCTATGCTTTCGTGGGCTTTTTGTTCGCCCGCTGGTGGGTAGCACATGTTGTGATATGACGAGGGTTTCTCTGACTATCGTTATAGCGTTTGTTATCCCATAATCTTTCCTCATTCCCAGCATCATTATCGTCGTCTTAGTCATCATATGTGTTATCGGAAGCTTACCTTTGACTGAGGGAGAGATGACTCAATTCAAAGTTGATGAGGTGTTACTCAATCTCGGCTCTCCAGACAGTACACAGAGAGCTGGAGGTTCGTAGGGGACACCACTGATAGGTGTTGAGAATAGTTCCCCGCTGAGATGTGGAACGAGAAGTGGAACAGGTCTCTGATGACTGTGCTGGGTCTGACATTTCCGACGAGTTTCCAACTTTGGATTTTTTGTGGGCGCCAACACCAAGATTTCGGCTATCTAGCTAGAAGGGCTTCTATTGTCGATGAGTCAACGGCACTCTCCAGCGCCCTGGAAGACACACAAGAAGTTAGGCCACGCTGCCATGCAGCAATCACGCTCTGTCAAGACTCTTCTGACATTTCAGCACGAACTTTGGTAAAGCATTGGAAGGAGGCTAGAAAGGCTGAGGCTGAATTCTCCGAGGTACCCACAAGTCTGCAGCGCCCAGCTGACCGGCCTCTTCGAACGCTTCAGAAGGGTCAATAAAATGAATTGACAATAACAACCCGTCCCTTATACTACAAACTGAAATACTTGTAATGCCATTATGGAGAGACAGGATTTCCTTTGAGCACCATTATGCCATGCTATCATAGTAACTACATATCTGAGCTTAACACTTTTCAACAATCTATAAAGTATTTGAGATGAAAATCCATGAGGTCAGCGGACAACAACAGGTAGAATTAAGAAAATTCTTGTTGTAAATTAATGTCAATTTAACCTGACCAGAGCCCAAAGTAGTCT